AGCTCTTCATTGAAAATGCGCAATATAGATATACTTCAGCCGTTTAAATATTGTTCAATATTACTAAATTGTTTTTATTACAGGTCACTAAAAGCGCTGAAATAGAATCCATGCTGATATATAAGAAGACAAAAGCTAATAAAACTTTAAATATTATTTAAACGAAATTAGCTTGTAGCAAAACACACTTGTTGTGAGGCAAAACACGTAGTTATAGTAATGATTAATTAAGTGTCATATTGAAAGTAAAATGGATTAAATATCATGGATTAAATCTGTGTTGATTTTCGTATGTCTTAATGAAGCATGGATCTTATAAAAACTTATAAGAACCAACAAAACTCCAATATGGTAAAAATTAAACACTTTGCTGGAATTACGATTACATTTTATATAGCACAAATTTACATGTGGCTGTGATGCGCTTTACATCAAGTATTACGCTTACCTAATTGCATGACTACTTTGGTCAGGCTATTTCATCTTTGACCAATGGACAACTTGCATGTTAGACTAAATTTTAATCTAAGTAAAGAGAAGGGAATAAAACACAACAGTTAAAAAGAACACAGTAACATTAGTAAAATTGCAAAATTTGGTTGCGAAATGTTGTAAAACTTGGAAATTATAGCCTTCCGAAGTTTGCATATTTTCAGTATATTTGTATTACGTGCGGAAATTGTTACCATTTTTGAGTCGAAAATGGTAACAATTTCCGCACGTAATACAAACATACTGAAAATATGCAAACTTTACAAGGTTATATTTTCTGTATTTTACAACATTTTGCAACCAAATTTTGCAATTTTACTGATTTTAATAAGTTCTTTACGGAATTTACTTTTTTTTGCCTAAATAAAAAATTAGTCTAACATGCAAGTTGTTTATTTCTATATTGCTTTTTTAACTGTATTTATCCTAACCCACCCTGCCAATTTTCCCCATGGAAAGAAACTGGAGCATCCGAAGAAAACCCACGACATTCGGCAGCGTTGACAGACTCTTTAAAAGTGTTTTTTCACAATCATGAGTCTGTAACGAGAATCGAACCAACCAACTCAAATGTGCAAGGAAGCCATTTTCTCTGACCACTGCGCCAACGAAACCCCACGGGCCACAGAAGCCCCACAATATTCGTTGAACTGTAGATGCACATACACAACATGCATGATAAGTTATGTGAGCTCATGTTTGAAGCGGTTTTGTCTTGAGAAGAAATGGGATTTCATTGAGCACTCAAACATCACAGCAAGTCACCTGACTCGCAGTAACATTTGAATAGAATAGAATAGAACAACATTGATGACTCGTAGTTTCAATAATAACATTTATTTAAGACGGGATCGCAGTGAAACGGCCGCTATGGCGGCGGAGTTTGCATTTATATTCTGTCTAACCTAAACTATAAAGTACGTAACGACTTACGGTCAGAAATTCTTGAGAATTTGATTGTGGAAATAACGAAATTACAATCCAAATCTATATCTTGGTACGTATTTGGTATAGACCTCCAGATTCTCCAGCAAGTTATTTTACTAAATTCGAGAAAATGGTTGGATCACTTGATACAGAAAATCTTGAATATTTTCCTTTGGGTGACTTAAATGTTGATTTTAAGCAAAATCTCATATAAAGATAAATAAGCGTAAGCTAAACGAAATATTTGGTATTTATGGCTTACACCAATTTTCAAATGAACCAACTCGGATAACTGAAACATCCTGTACTTTAATAGACCTAGCTTCGCCTAATGAATTCGACAGCCGTAGATTCCGGTGTAATACATCTTTCGATTAGTGACCACTCACTGGTCTACATGGTACGTAAGGCCCATTACACACGGACAGGAGTTAAAGCGATTAAAGTAAGAACATTGAAAAACTCGGAAGAAAAAATTTTAAGAGATTTATTAAACCAACAACCTTTGTAATTGTTATTAATTAATGGAGATTATTGATAAACATGCACCAACAACATCGAGGCGGATTAGTAACAAGAAATCTCCTTGGATCACAAATGAATTAAAGCGTTCAATATTTAGCAGGATTATTTAAAAAAAAAGAGCTATTTCGACTGGGGACCCTGGCGCGTGCTATGAATACAGACAAGCACGAAATCAGATTAATAACGAAACTAAAAAGGCGAAACGACTTTACTTTTACAATAAATCTTGATTTGCATATAAAACATGACAAGAACAAGACTTGGAAACTGATTAACGAGTACCCTGGTTCCAGAGCTATTTGCGAGGAGAAAGAAACGATAGCCGAGAAGAAAGAGCCTCTGGTCACACTTACACACTTGATTAGGTTCAGAATTTGAATATCGCATGTGATTGGCCATTTGTAAAAATATGTCAAACCGGTTTGGCAAATAAACATTACTGGAAGGGAAATATTACTACGCCGGGGGGGTGTGTGTGTGAAGATGTCTTGAAAAAGCTCTTTTTTACAGGGCCCCTGTTGAGGTTATTAGTAAATTTTCGATGCCCCCCACAAGTTTTTAAAAATTTCAATGCCCCCCCGACCTGGGATGGAAAGAGTACAATCCGGAATTCTCTCTTATCGCAGACACAACTTGCAGTTCATGAAGATGTCTGATATACTCAAGCACGTGCTCCTCCTCAACAAAAATACAGACTTGATGCTTCTTTCACCTCACTATCGCCAGATGAAATGGCACTGTCTTTAATAAAAATCGTTTTAAGTTGGCTCTAGGGGCGAAATCATCAACAGAATGTTGTTGTCCATCGTTCGACGTAGTCGCAGGTTTGAACACGTTCATGTACTGTCCGGGAATTCCAGGATCAAGTTTATGCACTGGACCCCTAGAGAAACTCGCCCCCACCCAATGTATCTCCTCGCATCTGTTGCAAATTTATTTCCATGCCTGTCAAAAATGCATGCAAATGCGCCAGTATGCTTCAACTTCTTTAATTTTCATCCCGTTTCTACTACATTTCCCATGAATATAGAACATATCATTTTCACAAATCGTATGTTTTTTGTTTTGGAACTGCTACTTTTTGGCGGTAAAGTACGTCAGAAACTTGGCGCCAAAAATTAAGGTGCTTATGACACGAAATTTCACCACAAATGTTTATGATTGCATTGTAAAGATCACTTAAAATTACTTAGTAATTCCCTTTATAGAATTTTGGTAACTTGCTTCCTTTTCAAGATATTCAACTTTGTTCCATATGCAAATATCACCGGTGTGACATCACATCGCATAATGACATTTTGAAAACGCAATAATTTACCTTGATAAAGTATTTTTACAAACAAATACAGAGGGTTAATTACCAGTTATGAAATCAATACATATATACAAGGGCAATTTTTAAGTTTTTTAGATACGTATTTGGCAAGAAAACTATGGTTTTCTGAACATTCATAATGTGATGTGATGTGATGTGATGTCACGCCGGTGATATTTGCATATGAAACAAAGTTGAATATCTTAAAAAGGGAGAAAGTTGCCAAAATTGCATAAAAGAAATTATTAAGTCATTTTAAGTGATCTTTACAATGCAACCATAAACCTTTGAGATGAAATTTCGTGTCATAGGCACTTTAAAAATAAGCTATAGGTGATTTCATGTATCCATTTAGAAGAGCGGTCTAAGGATATCTTAAAACTGAAATCGGTTTCGAAATACGTCCATCAGGGATGTGTTGAACATCTGAAGTTTGGGGGTGGGAGAGTCAGAGTATTTACCAGAAATGTGTATTTCAGTGTTAAAAATTTACCTGAGGTGTAATAATTATAATAAAGGTTTTTGAGATTGATTTGCACTGTCATACTGAAGTTTCAGGAGAAAAGGACCCCAGAACATTTTTACATTTTTGAAGCTCTAGTACTGCATTTTTTGCGTTTTCTAAAGCAAATTCGCAAACAAATTGATGCAAGTTGACCGTATTTTACAAAAACGGTTATCTTTTCACAAAATTAAATAATTACTTTATTACGCAAATTTTACCTGCAAAAGTCAAAATTTTAAGTTGATCATGAATTTTACGTGATTTTTGCCTGAGTTTCACAGTTGAGGTGAGTTACACCTCCCTCACCACACACGCCCGGTCGCTATGTCCCTGGCAATCATTCCTTGTGAAGATATAATGACTTAAATTTCTAAAAATCCACCATTTTGTCCTAGTTTTAATAATAATAATAATAACAGTCTTTATTCATACTCAAGAACACCCGTCTGTGAGTTTACATTATAAAAATATATAAGACAAAATTGTCGACATCTATAAGGTAATAACTAAATATATACAGTTATGGATAAAAATGTTAATAATGTTAAAATGGCAAAGGTTAAAATTGGTTAAACAAAGTTAAACAAACATCGATTTACAAAAGAACTTTTAAATCGCTCTGTTCTCACTAATGGAAGTTCAAACTCGTGTCCCCTTGGCCTAAGGTGTCTATTTAATTTATCTGGTAAAAGCTCCTGTAGTGCATTATCTTTATTATGTATTACTTTATCCCAACGTTTCTTGTCCCTTTTGATGCTTATCTCCTTAATATTCAATTTTTCCGATATGTAACCATTTCTGTGAGCGCGATTGATGAATTTGTCTATTTGACTAATGTATTTATTGAAGTATGCGCCTCCCCAAAGTTCTATGCCGTAAGTGATTATAGGCATAATTAAAGTGTTAAACAGCATGACCAGTTGTTTGATGGGAAGCCATAGTATTTACAGACACGCATTATGTACATTCTTGCACTGGCTTTTTTCAACATTTCATCAAAATGCAAATCCCACTTGGAAGGGAGATCCTGTAATGTAATTCCTAAAATCTTTAACCACGTCCTTCGTTTAATAAATGGAAAAGGATCAGGCAAAAGCGTAGGGATATTTCTCCTAACAATCATTTCATACGTCTTTTCCATATTTAAGGACATTCGATTATTTTCAGACCATGTTTGTATACTGTCCACTTCGGCTTGGGATGTATCTCCGTTTTCATTCCCTGGTACTTCTAATGTCATGTCATCCGCGAACTTAACTGGTTTATGGGGTTAACTGTTTTGATGTCATTCACCATGATCGAAAAGAGGACAGGACCCAGAACTGTTCCTTGGGGAACACCTCGATTAATGTTCAAGTATTCAGTTTCTATTCCATCAACCACTACCCTCTGTTTCCTATCCTCCAAAAAACTAATCAGCCAATTAGTAACATATGGGTTTATGGGGAGCTTCTTAAGCTTCTCACATAAAATATCGTGTGGAACGCTATCGAATGCTTTGCGAAAGTCAAAAGATAATACTCTGACATATTTTGCATCTCCTTCTAACCATGTTAACCATGTGTGTTGGCACTTGATCAGAGCCATAATCGAATTGTGACCTTCCTTGTCTGCAAACTGATCTGAATCAATAGCGTGTCTTGTAACATGTGCTATCTCAGTTTTGAACACACTTCTTTCTGAATAATCTCATTATAATATCTGTTAAAGAGATTGGTCTTAGTTGATTAAGAGAGTTTAAGATAGATTCTTTAGGTACTGGTATTACATTTGCATGTTTCCACATTTTAGGAACTTTGCTAAGTTTCAATGAAGTGTTAAATATATTTGTTATGGTGGGAGCAAGCTCAAATGCAAATTCCTTCCAAAACCAGTAAGGTAGATCATCTGGCCCGGATGCTGTTCGTTTTAGATTTTGTAAAAGGTGTAGAGTAGTATTTATAGAGAGCGAAGGAACCCTGGTGCCATCAGGGATCTCGACAGGTTCTGGAGCCGCGTACTGAAGATCCGAGTTTATACTTTGAAAGTATACATTTATCTCACTAGGATCAAAGGCTGCACTGACAGATCGACTCCGATTATTTCTTCCTGTAATACTGTTCACATTGGACCACCACTGTTTTGATCCGGTTTTCTGATTTTTGTTCTCTTGTTTGACGGCATTTAACTGGTTCTCTCGAATTAGCTTGTTTATCTGGTCTTGTAAACGAGCGTGAGATTCGGAATCGCTCTTCTGTATAGCTCTTTTCCTTTGCTTTAGCAAATGCTTTACAAGGGGTGACATAAACGGTGGGTCACGTGAAGAGGTTCTAACCTTAATTAGTGGGAAGCACTTTTCAAATATCGGCCACATCGTTTCATAAAATTTCAGCGTCATTTCATCTGGAGTTTGCCCATCCTTGGTTATCATATTCAAGTCTACAGTTCCTAATTCATATAACATATTTATTTTCTTATGTTGTCTTACATCTCTAAAATAGGAATTTTTTCTTTCTGCTTTAATTACATCTCGGGGATAGGTTATTACCATATCATGATCAGATTTTACTAAGCTTTTCACTACTTTAACTTTTTTCCAATCGTGAGGAGCGTTCGTAATGAAGACATCAAGTATATTTTGACCCCTTGTGGGAACTTTAACAAGTTGGATGAGCGACAGCTGATTGAGCAGATTGCGGATATTTAATTTATTGATATCACCCGCAATGATTATTCTGGAGTTTGGTTTAACCGACAGTATTTGTTCGCATGTGTCTATCAAATATTCAATTAGGTCATTCTCATTATAATCGTGATCAGGAGGGTGGTATATAGTTCCAACATAGACATTCGAGTTTTGTGTGTCAATTTTTGTCCATAGACATTCAAACAAATTGTCCGAGTTTGGCATTATCTGCATTTTCCAATCATTTCTACAAATAGTCGCCACACCGCCCCCTCGACAGTTTGTTCTGTCTTTTCTTATGATAGAAAAGCCAGCGGGACAGACAAGATGATCAGGTATAATTGGTTTCAGCCATGTTTCAGAGATACAGCATATGTCAATGTCATTACACTTCAGATCCGCATACAAAGCGGGAAGGGCATCAGGTGTTACTAGGGATCTAGCGTTTAACACTAGACAACGCGGAATTATACGTGGTAAATTTAAAGCTGTTTTATCGATTTGTACAAATTTCAGAACACGATCACGCTGATGAGGTATCATACGAGCATGTTTTTTTCGTCTTGTAATTCTCACAGGAATTTTATTACTACGACAAGCTGACTGAGACATACAATTGGAACCATTTAAGTTCGTGTTAGCCGCATTAATTATGTTCTCGTAATTTTGCTGACTAGGTCTAGGTAATTCTCCCAGTCCGGAGGTCGATCTAGATACAGTTTCTTCCGAAAATTCCACTTCGGTTTAGTTTGTTTACTTTTGAAGTTTTTGCGACTACGGACTGTATTCTTTGATAAATGCTTGTTTCTCTTATTTGTATTGAAAGTATTTAATTCTGTTGTTTGGGGGGTTTGTAGGGACAGGTTTATTCATCCAATTGTGTGATCTATTGGGAAACGCAAGAGACTGTTTCTCTCGGTATTTCTTTAGCTGTTTCTTGAACGATGAGGATGTATTCAGCGAACTATCCGTCCGGTCAATGGCTATGTTAACCCCATCAGCTACAGTGAAATTTTCAAAGCCTGACAGAAAGTCGTCTGACTGGCTCCCAAGGGTGTTATCAATACAGTGAGCCTCTGGTGTTATGCTGGCTTCATCTATTGTAGTGAAATTTTTAATGCATAACGGAAGGTCATCTGGCTGATCGTCCGAATTAAATACACCAGAGAAACTTGAGCTCCCAAGGGGATTATCAATGCTATGGACTATTGATGTTATGCTTGTTTCATCAATTATAGCGTGATTTTTCATTTGCATAATCGATTGTCTCAAAGATTCATTCATCGCCTCACTTGACTTAAGTCTATTTTCAAGAGAGACAATGGTGTTATTTAATTCGTTTACTTCTTTATTTCTTCCTCGGATTAAAATTGATATATCAGCTTCAAGGTTTTTACATTTTTCCCTTTCATTAGATAGTTCCTTTTAAAGTTGGTTAATTTCTTCGCTCTCCCGCGACTTTTCGATTGCAAAAATCTTAGACTCCATATTTCTTTGCATGATCACCATATCAAGCTTAACTTCTTCAAGGTCTACTGCCAGCAGCCTACATTGACAACCGTGCTCGAAATCATGCACTACATTACAAGGGAGTGAATTTGATCTGACCTTAAGCTTTTCTGAATGTACGTCACTCTTGAAAGACTGATTAGGTATTTCTGTAGTCATATCAACAATCGAGTCAGCAGTAACCGCGTTAGTATTGTTGTTATGCCTTGCTTTGCTCTATGACACTACTTATTGTCGGCATACAAATATTATCCGATAATTCGCCATCTTCAACTGCATTCGGTTTCGCCGTAAACTCATTTGATGTAGTTGGTGCCCCACACACTGTAATCAACGTATTTGCTAGAGCCAAACTTGCATCGCCGTGAAGCACAAGTGTATTTTGTTTTCTGGCATACCAAGTAATAGTTAAGTCCGAATTGAGGCACGTAAACTTTTTTGCATTACCACCCGGCGACGACCAATTGCCATGTAATTTAAGACCACATTCAACGAAACTTTGCAGCATGTCAAAGCTTCCAGACCACTTTATACGCTTTCTATCATACGTTAGGTTCGAGCAATCTTTATGATTGTATATTTGCTCAAACTTCCATTCATTTAGATTATTTTTATAACAATTTACAGAGCTCAGATTAGTACGACCGCCAGCCATCATGTCCGCTGTTCACCCCTTGTTTTAGTAACAATACGGCGGATTTTTCAACATTTGTATCGCTATATCTTCCCCTAAAACAGTTGTATTTAGAAACAGAATTTAGTTTTAAAGTACCCTTAGTCTGCTCTTCCAAATGGATTTATAAAATCACCAATAGCTTATTTTTAATTTTTGGCGCCATGTTTGTGACGTAATTTGTTTTAGTGGCAAAATATTTTCATGATATACTTCTGTTATATGATAATCAGTACATTACGTAAACATGCATATTATCATTCATAACATATAAAAAATATAAATGCAGTCTTTGTAATCATATATTTTGTAGTTATTGTGGGGATACGTTTTGTATCTTTTATTGTATGGAATTTCATATGTGCCTGTATAGTCTAGGACCTGTATATGAGTAGGACAGGTAATCTCAACAGTTTTAGAGTAAAATACCATGGCGGTCAACATGGCATATGTGCCAAAACCTGAATCCGGGACGAAAGTCCTGAAAATGACCCTGCCCTGAAACGGCAGTGTCGACATAGCTCTACCTTCCGAAAAGGAAAAGCAATAGCCTTTCTGAAGTGCTTATAGTGTTCAGATGGGTTGGTTTTATGGGTGGTCATTGGAAGGAAAAATCTGTCTAAGTATAATATTTTACAAGAAAATGACCATGCACTACCCAAGGTAAATTGCTAATTATGCACAAAATAACTAATATGCCTGGCAGAAATTAAATTTTCTTATTTCCTAAAAAAAGTTATCATGGGGTGAAAAACTTTGCTCAATTTAATATAATTATTGTGGATTTCATAAGAATTGTCATTGTTTTGTTCATAAGGATTGTCATTGTTCAAGTCATTGTCACTTAGCCCCCACGAAAAGACGAGTTCAGCCATATTTTGCAGTCTTGTTTGCTTTTTATCGCCGAATCTGGCAAATATCATCCAGTTGTTGTACTTTTACATAATCATGAATGGCTGAAGAAGATTTCAAAGAAGGTTTCATGAAATTTGGAAACAGTGCAGTGTATTTTATCTTCGATATTGTGTCTTTCGATATTTCGTGAAATATGGCACCATTGCAATGGCGCGACGCTTCTCTGCCCGATAAATGCCACTTCTTCGTCTTCCTATGTATTTAGATTACAGTATCCAGAAGTAATTCATTGTAGAATAGTCCCAAGCGAAAAATTGAAAACATTAGCCGTATTGGAAAGGAGAAAACCTCCCAATACAGTTGTCTTGTCAGAATTTAAAAGAAGTAATTTAAAAGTCACGCGCGCGCAAGTTCGTGAAAACTCCTCGTGGGCTACATGACAGGGAGTGAATATTTTCACGAAACGTTTGTTCGCCACCACCGAAACCTAGCTAAATACTAATAACGTACTGACCGAGAGTGAGAGCAGTACGGAAAAATATCCAACCGAGGTCTTGCTGTATTGACCGAGCGATAGCGAGGTCAATACAGCAAGACTGAGGTTGGATATTTTCCCGTACTGCCCGAACGGTTGAGGTCAGTAAGATTCTTATTATATATATGGCATTGTACGTTTGCAAAAAATGGGAAACAAAGTCATGCGAGGGCAAAGTACAAAGTCTGAAACATTTGCAAAAAAGACCAATTGTAAAATGTTCTCAAGCTTGGTTAGTAAAACTACTCTACAGCACTTTTTATATAGAATAATAACACAGTTTTGATAGTATTTCAAGAAAATTCGAGGTATTTCGTCATTTAATCAAAGACAAAGACAACAAATATGAAAACAATAAAATTAATAAACACTATGGACAACTACGTTTTTACTTTTTAGCTCGCTTCATCTCATAAATATGCCTCTTTTTATCGAACAAAAACAGAAATTTTCAGGGAAAAAATATAAATCTGTGGCTGCTTTAGTTGTATTTTTTCTTAGGATGGTGTCACATTCCTCGGCTATCTGCAAATAAAATTTGCAGCTCTTCACAAAGTCAAGACACAGCTATTCCTGACTGCTTTAATAGTTATAAATATTGTAAAATTTACCTTGTAATTTCGACTTTCGCTAACAAAAACATATTGAGAAAGTTCTTTAACCAAAGAAGGTGCTCCTTTTCTTTAGTTTCGGCTTGTATTTCTTCGTTTTGAATAGTTTTGAAAGACTTTTAGACACTTTTTGCCGTTTGAAACTCGGCTCTCGTCGCAGGGCAATAAAAATTGCGTATTGCCCGTGGGCAATACGGGAAAATCCTGACTCGTCAGCAGCCAATCAAATTGCGCGATTCAGCAAAACAAATGCTTGCCATATAATAAACTATATTTATTGAATGTTTATGATTGATGATAAAAACAATAAATATTTGCGTATTTTTATCATCAATCATGCACCACATGGTTTGCATCTCTACCAATGACAGTACGCCGATTTTCATCCAGTGGACGAAATTGGAGGAGGTGCACATGAAATGGAACTTAATATTTATGTAGGCCCCTACTTAGATTTAATTAGGTGCCGAAATGGTCAGTAGAGGAATCTATTTATTGACAACTCTAACCAACTCCGAGAGATCTATCCTCACGAAAGGATTTGTTCCAAGCCCCGGGTTCCATCACTTCTTTTTAGTTAATTTCAGACAGATGCCGAATCATTTTAGACGATTTCGTCTAAAAGCACATTTTCACACCAATCGTTCGTCCACCACACGGACGTTTTGAGACCAAGACTAATGTAGGTCGCTAGAACTATCGACAATGTAGACATGACATAGATGAACTCCCCATGTTTAGGCCCAAAAGGCAATCCAGCCTTACTGACATTGAATTTAGTGCCCTTCAGTCAATTCGTCCCGTGGATGACACCTGCTGATAAAGGTGGTGCCTTGGTGGTTTGGAGGGCTATTTTGTATCGCAATGAAGCCCATCAACAATTAAGTGACACTGCTTTTCACAGGAGGGTTGATAAGGATTTTGATCATTGATAGCTTTATCGCCAGTGGTGATCTTCCTGAGACAAAAACCTCATATTCACTACACCTCGGACAAATGTCGTGTACTTCTTGCCCGAAATTTCACCAGAGAAATCCCAAGACAAGGCAAAATTCCGCCTAATGAAAAACCGTCTTTACTGTGTATTTCCACCTACAGATCTAGAGAAATATTTCGCTTGATTTCTTTTCAATTGTGACCATCCGAATAAATCAGTTCTACTTGACTGCCCAGAATTCAAAAGAAATTGAGCGAAATATTTTTCGACAGCAAAATTTTCTTTGCAAGTTGAAATCCAGCTTAAGCTAGTTCTTGATCTACTTATGCACTCACGCACTAGGAAGTATTTATATGCATGTTGGGTTCACTTTTCCCCCAACTATTACTACACGATACTATAATAAACTTTTCATCCCCGAGCCAACGACGCGTCCTCGCCGTTCCCAGCGAGAGTACACTAATTATGTTCGGGGAAATGTAAACCAAGCGGGTTGAAAGGTTCTGGTGCCTTGGTTCATCACATACGGATGGGCCTCCTCGCCGATGTAAAAAATATAGCTATTTACCAGGAGTGGTATAAGCAAGATGTTGCAATATTCATAAAAAAAACAATTAAAAAATATTTGCATGCATGTATAATTAGTTAGTAGCCTATTTAAGCCAAGTAAACATTTCGTATATAGGTTTTTTATTACTTAGCTAAATAAAACGAAGTACGTTGTAGTTGGTTTGTGTGCTTTCTATCATTTAACGAAACATGGTGTCAGGTGTGGGATTGTGAGAAGCACAGAAGCTGCAAATATGTCTGATACTGAAGAGATGGAAAATCTAAACGGGCCAGATTCAAGTACAATGCCAAAGGCAAGATACAACAAACGACAAAAGGTTTGGTGTCTATACCGATAATTCCAACAAGAATTTCTGCTCCTAAACCACTGTTGATGGAAGGAAACATGGCAGCAAATTGGAAGAAATTTCGCCGAGGATATCGGGAGAACTATGCAATTATTTCTCGGCTCGAACAATTCGACGAACGTTTCAAGACGGCGTTGTTTTTGTCAGTAATTGGCGACGGGGCGATGGAAGTTTATGAAGGAATGCATTTCGCAGATAGCGATGACAAGCAGAAGCTAATTAAAGTTATCGAACAATTTCAAACCACATTTATCGGCGAGACCAATGAAACCTATGAACGGTTTATATTTAATAGTCGCAATCAGAAAGGAGAAACAATCGAGCAATATATTATTGTGTTGAGAACTTTGGCACAATCGTGTAACTTTTGTACTTGTCTGAAAGAAATCCTGTTGCGAGATAGGGTTGTTTTGGGTGTTAAAGACAATTCTGTTCGAAAGAAACACCTACAAGAACGAAAGTTAACATTAGTAAAGGCCCTAGATATTTGTCGAAGCAGTGAGACGACTTTTGCAAGCAATTGCGAAATATGATAAGCCTCAATAAGAAGTCAAACGACCATGAAATCAAAGCAATTAGAGAACAATGTCAAGGAAATCGGCGTGGTGACCCTTCAAGATCCCGCGAGAAAAAGCGTTGCAAATATTGCGGGGGAATGCATGAATTTGATAAGAATTCCTGCCAAGCATATGGAAAGTCGTGTAAGAACTGTGCTTTTTGCAATCATTTCTCAAGGGTTTGCCAGAAGAAACAGAATGAAACTACACGATCGGTCAAGGAGATTACCAAAGATGTTTCTAGTGACTCTGGTGATTCAGTGTACACAGTTCCGTTTTGCCCGAGTTTCCGGATGATCAAGAGGTTTTAGCGGTGCAAACAGAATATAAACAATTCAAGAGTAAAATTCTAACCGTAATGAACATTAAAGGGGGAAAAGAGACAAGTTTTGAAGTCGATACGGGCGCCACTTGCAATGTTATTAAACAGAAAGAACTGTCTGGGACGAAATATATGAAAAAAATGAAGAAAACAAAGCAAGTCCTCAATATGTATAACTCCTCCACTTTGAAACCAGTCGGTCAGTGTATGGTGCAATTACAAAATCCTGAAACATGCAAGAAGTACAA